TCTGTCACAACCAACTTTTATGTGTCAAAGATTCTAAAAGCATAAAAACAATAAGAATTACAATTATAGCAAAAAGAAAATGCTTTCATGAAGTATTTACAAAAGGAGAAAATTTAAGAACTTGATAGAATAGTTTTTAAAAACGCTCATTTGCAACAGCAAGAACATTCACTCTCATGGCCTCATCCAGCTACATCATATCATACAGTCATTATCCCATAATGGCCCCCTTGCTGGCTCCTCCAACCACCTTGCAGAAGCCTTTCCTTACCCATCGAGGAGGAAGCCTTTGTTCTCCTCACAATTTCATATACCATCTTGTCAATAATCTATTGATAAAAATCCCAACATTTTGTATAACAGTGACCCTCACTCACTCTGTTTTGCCTTTTCCCCCTCCTCCCCAACTTTTACTCTTGGTTTCTTTGTGCCTGGTGTAAGTTCTATGCCTTGTTTAAAGCTGAGACAGCTTGACTTTAAGCCATCTAAGCAACTCTGTATCTGTATGTTGAAACACCACTTCCCTCAAGTTCCAGTTTGATGTAAGAAATTGTCAGTATCTAAGAACTATAGGAAAAGATGACATTGGTTTTCAAGTAGAATTCTAACTATTTAAATAAGTGGCTAGTGGTAGCTGTTTAGGAGGCCATCTTTCCTTCTTTTTCTTTCTTTCACAAATATTTTTACTGGACAACTTCTACTGAACTAGGAACTCAGGATGTATAAGACATGACTAGGAGAGGCAGGCAGGAAAATACACATAATGTCGTCTGTTAAGTACTGAGATAGAGATGTGGTCATTCAAGGAGGACAAAGCAGAGTACAGAGTTCCCAAGTCAGAAAAAAATGTCTTTTAGAAATTATATGTTTCCTGTACAAAATTACAGGTTTTTAAAAAAATTACAAAAATCTATTAATGATAAAAACTTAAGAAGTACCTAAAATATAAGAAAATAAAAATCTTCTCCAATCTCATCCTCAAATAGAAATACTTTTAAATTTTGTAATACAAATATTTGTGATGCAAATTTAAATAGAAAAATAAACTGATCGTACCGCTGAACTCCAGATAAATGCTTTTTCCATCAGAAGAAATAATTGTTTGAAAAGATCAACATAAAAATTATGAAAACTATGAAGAGGGATCAGTATATTTTCCCGGTACTTAATGGTTGCTGTTTATGTTGAATATAAATGTACATTTCAAGGTGTTAAAATTTAGTCAACTGCTTCATAATATTAATTGGTGTATTTTGTATGATGCTAAAACTATTACTACTCTTCATTCTACCCTCAGTCTTAGTATTTAAAAAGAATCAAAAGGACAAAATTGGAAGCTTTGCATCTATTTTTAGAAGGGCTCTTTAGAAGCAAGTACAGCACGTGTTGTGGCAATAGTGTCAGCAGGTAACACCCAGCACACATACAGCTTGCAGACTCACTGCCATCAAGTCTGCTCTGGCTCATAACAACACAACAAATGAACTAGAACCGTCCCATAGGGTTTCTACAGCTGCAGATATTTATAGCAGCAGACGGAATCCACCATCTTTCTTCAATAGTCAGCTCATAGGTTTGAACCACTGACTATGCCACCAGAGCTCCTAGACAACCCATACTGGGTAATAAATTTTCTTGCAATACAATCTTAAAAAAAAAAAAGAAAAAAATTAGAAAAATGAAGGGAGGTTAAAAATGTGCTAAAGCTGACAGGAAATTACTAATCATAGTATGGTCTTGAATCATGAAGAAATGTCCCCTTGTGCTATGTTTCTCTGGTAATATTCTTGCCCACTTCCTCAAACCCATTGCTATTCTGACTCCTAGTGACCCTCCATCAGGTTTCTGAGGCTGTAAGTCTTTTCTGGAGGGAGACTGACTGTCATGTCTTTTCTTTTCTCCCAAAGAATGTCTCAGAGGCTCAAACTATCAAACTTCCTGTTAGCTCAACATTGAATACACTTCAGTATTTAAAGCTATTTTTCTTAAGGAAACAGTGTCTTTCAGGCACACAAAGCACCACTTGAGTCCACCTTAACTCAAGCTGTCCATAACAACAGATCTGAACCTTGCCATATCTAGCCAGATAGGCTTGTTGTTTTTATTGCTGCTTGCCCTTGGGTCAGAACTGACTCACAGCTGACTCCTTCAGCAGATTTTCAAAGGCTGTAAATCATACTGGAGTAGATGGTCCAACCTTCTTCCACTGAGCAGCTGTTCCTTTAATTGCAGAACAGCTTCTTATCATTAGGCCACCAGAGCTCCCTAAATAGACTAGGTAAATGAAATATTGTCCTTTTCCTCCTCCTTTCTTGATCACTCACTCCCTACTCACTTATTACCATCAAACTAAAATTAATAACTGGTTTTGTGAGGCTATAAATGAAACAAGATTGATTTCTAGAAGACTGAAGAGAGCAGACTGCCTATCTTTCTCTATGGAGCTGCTGGTAGACTTGAGCTGCAACACAGAGGGGGCCTTTGGGTCAGCCAGTGCAACTCCTTCTGGCTCCATCACCAAAGCTCCCCTTCTTTCCTGATGCCATTTTAATACTGATAGGCATCTGCAAAAGAGCCTATGATCTTGCAAGGACATTAATATATACTTTAAAAGTAGCTTCTAAATAGAATACATTTCATATCACATTATTTTGCATTTTAATGCATTGTACTGAATCTTATTCCTGTGTTATGACTGTTCCAAGGCATTTCTTGCTTTCAGTATCATCTTGACCTTAAAATTGAATTCATAATATTTCTTAGCACTAAATAGTTTTCAAAAAAATGACAGTCATGATCTCTCATTATGCTTTTTATGGCATCTTTGATTTTTCAATGACAGTTATAAATAACAACTTATCTAAAGTATATTTCTTTGCATGGCAATGAGACATGTGCTTGCAAATAACAGATTGAACTTGAAATTGGATTTAGCTTGAATCAGTTAGTGTCCCAAGTCATTCTGTGCTACCAAGGGAAAGTTTGACAATTTTAATCCACTTAGAAGTAACTAGAAAAAAAGACCTTGGTGATCTACTCCCAAAACTCCAGCCCCTGAAAACCCCGTGTAGCAGGTCTGCTTTGTCACCCACAGGGCTGGCTCCATCGCAGCCAGCTTGGGTTTCCTTTAATGCTTGCTGACTTTCTTTTTTTGCAACTTTCTGTCTTTAAAATGACTGTGAATTTTCATAAAAACAAATTTTTATGCAAAGAAACAAAACCTACTGTGTACGTTTCACCTCATTCCCCTGTTAACACTCCAGACCCACATAGCAGTCACAGACAAAATGCTCTTAAAACAAAATCTTTTGCTGTAGAGTAGAAACCAGTTCATGGCAACCGATGTGTTATCAGAATTTATTTCTCCATAGGGTTTTCTTAGATAGAATCTTAACAGACACAATTGCCTTCTCTTTCTTTCATGGTTGTTGTTGTTGTTGCGTACCTTTAAGTTGGAACCGACCCATAGCCGACCTTCCAGTGGGTTTTCAGAGGCAGTTAATGACACGGGAGGAGGTTGCTAATCTTTCTCCTGTAGAGCAGCTGGTGGATTTGAACCGCATGCCTTCAAGACTGCAGTGCAGTTTCTTAACACTAGGCCACCAGAGCTCCCTTTCATGGAACCCCTGCACAAATTCAAACTAGGTGCTATCTGTTGTTGGTAGGTGCTGCCAAGTTGACTGACTGCCTTAGAGCAGCCCGACATACAACAGGGTAGGCAGACAAAAAGACTCTAAATGCAACATGTGATCCAGGACGAGATCTTGGACACCTCAAGGGCCTTTGGGGTAACTGACAAGCTTTGAGTGGGCTCCATGGTTTACTCAGTCAATTCTACTGCATCCATGTGAAGTTCTTGGATTCGATGAGATGAGACGTTGATGAGATGGATTGATTCAGTGACTGGGGTAATGGGGGTAGGTGTGTCAGAGACAATAAGATTGGCACAGGATAGAGCAGGGTTTAGGGCTGCTATGAGTCGCAGGTGACTCAACTGCACATAACAACAACAACGTCACAATAGTCATTTAGTTGCACATCCACTAAGATCAAGAGCTTGTCCATCCTCCTCCTATAGAGCAGCTGGTGGATTTGGACGGACTGCGTTCCAGATTGCAGTACAGCTTCTTACCCACTAGGCCGCCAGAGCTCCTGGTGACTATCTCTGTAATGTTGCAGTGAAAAGACTTTCATTGATAAAATGTATCTGTGACAAGCTCTGTGGAATAGATGCCAAGACTTAAGGATGAGCCTTGTAAACCCCGACCCCAAATGCTAGCCATTCTTCCTTTCTGAGAGGCAGCCTGGCAGGTACTGATCTGAACTCCACCACAGTGACTCCCTTTCTCTTTGGAAAGCTCCTCACGTTGCCCCACCACCCAGATTGCCTGGGGAGCATCTGACCTGCCTGGCCTGGCCAATTATGCTCTTGTAGCCATGATTATGTAATACTCCCCGATGAGCCTAGAAACCAGGTGCCCGTTATTATGTACCACTTCATCTGCCATGCATCCTCGAAACCAGACCAGGCCATATTAACTCAGAAGTGCATTCTCCCTGGACATTTATGGGGAAGTGGGAGAAGTGGAAACTGCAATGTAAGACTGTATCACAGAGAATTTATACCTTTACACTTTTACAGGGACTTTTGAGGTTTGATGGAGTATAACATTGTTTTAATCAATTAGAGAGTTACATTAATTTTTACTTAAACTATTTTTGAAATAGGTGTCAATAGGTAGGGTACTACTTCTAAAAATATTTGTATGTGTATCTAAAAATATTTTTCTTTATCCTACTTGAACATTAAAAGCCAAAACCTATTAGATAAAGGGAATTGTTTCTAAGCAGGCCTCAGATTCATTTATTTCTGTTTTTATTCTCTTGTGGCAAATATTGCTGAATGGCTATTTCCAGTTCATTTCAAGAAACAGTTCAATTTTCTTTTCCTTCCCATCCATTGCTTATAACATTCATTTGTCATTTTTGTCATTTTGTAGACCTACCACGAGCAGCTGTCAGGATCTTAAGCAACATGACATTCCTTTTTGTGAGTTTGTCATACACAGCTGAGAGTGCCATTGTAACTGCTTTCATTACCTTCATTCCCAAGTTCATCGAGTCACAGTTTGGTATCCCTGCTTCCAATGCCAGCATCTATACTGGTAAGGCACTGATGTAGAGCTACGTGAAAACGTGATCATTTGTGACAGCTAAACTGAGATAGAATGTGTGGAGAGAAAGTGAAATCTAACATGAAGGGGTTGAGTTAATCCATGAACCTTTCCACCAAGAGTTTAGAAGGAGGAAGTCCTTAAATGTTTTCATGTTGATGTGTCTTTATATCCCCATGTGGCATTTTGAAAGACTTTGTTTGGGAAAGGCAAAACTTTATATATTTGTGCTTTTATGATTCATTGGTTTTTGGGTTTGTTTTTGTTTTTCAAAATAAGTAATGACATTCAAATTTATATCTAACTCTTTTCCTCTTTTCTTGGGTTGGCATAAAAAGGTTTTACAATATTAAATTTTTTAAAAAAATCTATAGTCCATGGTACAAGGATTTTCCTTTTTAATGGAATCATTTCATGGACTCAGTGGAGAAACTTGAGGTTGGTTAGAAAGGAGATTTATCACTGTTGCTTGAAAACATGTTTTTTTTTCATATATATGGGAAATTTGATTTTGAGTGTTTGAGACATGTAACCCTGGTACTCATAGTATGCAAATATTTCCATAAAAACTGGCCCTCGTAAATTCATTATATTGGGGGAATATTTTGTTGTCTACTATTCTGGGTAATTCCTTAGTGATTCCAAACATGTTTGAACAATTTTATTTTTTTTTTTTAAAGCTTGATATACTAATGACATTTTAAAAATATTTAAGTGGAGATTTGTAACTTTTCAAATGATTAAGGCTCCTATCTGCTCCTGTCATTTAACATTCAAATTTGCAGTGCTAGAATTATCTGACAATTAGCAAGCATGATAAAATTGTATCACTGGTGGAAAAGGATATAATTTACAACTCTATCATTGGTGGAAAATTATATTGTTTACAAATGTATCATTGGTGGAAAGAGAGGTTGCCATGAAATATTTGGTAACAATTTTGTTTTCTCTTTCATTTTGCACGTAAAAGACAGGCAGTTGAGTCCATGGTCCTTAGTATTTGATAGAATATGGCTGCTGTGGGCCATTGTAAGTGCAATCTCAACGTACACTTTTCTCTATCTTGCTTTCATGTGTTTTCTTTATATTAAGTTAAAAATCAGAGATCATTTCACAGTTTGGCTGTCTAATTTAGTACTTAAACTGAGGCTCTGTGGAGCAGCATTTTTTGGACGGGAAAACAGGATTGCCTGTGATTAGATTTGCACCACACATAGTATATGCTCAGCCATTTCCCAGTCAGTGTTTCAGTATTAAATTGTGTTACTAGAAGTGGAATTTATAGTCAGATACATTTAAAATCTGCTGTGTTAAAATATTATGGGGTTATTTAAGGGAAGATTTTTTCATACTCTTTTTGCATGACAGTGTGTACTGTGAAACCCCTGGAGGAAGAGGCAGAATATAATCTTTCCAGAATGAACTAGACCATGAAACCCAATTTATTTATAATTTTTTTTTTTAGTTTCTTGTGAACAAGACTCTCCCCTAGTCCATCTTGTGTGTCCTTGTCCCAGCCAGACTCGGAAACTGAACTGTATCCATCAGCCCTTCTCCCTCTTCCCCATACCGGCCTGTGAGCCATTTTGACCTTAGGGGCTACTGTGACCCAACCCAACCCAGTGTTTACCTGAGGAGGAACTGAATACATATTGAACAAAGCCCTTTCTTCCTTACAACTAGAGACAGAGACTAGATGAACTGTTCCTTTGGAAAACCTGAGTCAAGGCTTCGGCTGGACGTGGAATGTCTGGCTGCAGATGTTCATGTTAGTGTGGTTATAGTTGTTATGTGGCGTCCAGTTGACTCACAGCAACCCTGTGAACAATGGCTTTGAGCCTTGCCCTGTCTTGAGCCAACCTCACCATCTCTGACACACCTGCCCCCCTTGCCACAGTCACTTTGTCTATCCAGCTCATCCGGGGTTGTCTTCTCCTGTGCTGACCCTCTACCCTTCCAAGCATGATATCCTTCTCCACGTAGTCACTAAGTATGACCTCCATGGTGTGGATATGTGTGTTCTTCCAGGATTGAATAAGGCACAGAGTTAACGTGGCCCATGTTCTCACATTACTAATAAACGATATTCCAGAGAGCCAGTTCCCTTCTGGTTTGTTTGGTCATGAGCAATTTTTGTCCCTTGAGTCTTTGCCAATATAAATTAGACTGTGTTTGATAATTAACTGTGTTATGGAAATGTTTTTTTTTATTCCCAGCTCATATTCATTTCTCTTCCTTTACTTTTAAATAACAAATAATAGCTAGTCAAGTGGCATTCAGAGTGATTAAGAGCAGAAGGTGACACCCTACTTGTCTTGTTACATACATTTATTTTTGTTGTTAGGTGGGTTATTAGAGACAGTAAGTTGCAAAGAAAGAAATCACTCGTTTTTCTTCTATGGAGCAAGTAGTGGATTCAAACCGTGTACTTTGGGTTGCCAGTGCAGTTCTTTATGACTAAGCCTCCAGAACTCCCTGAGCACCCTCTTATTGCAGTAAGATGGTTAAAATAGTATAATTCCATTCCCTCTCCTTGTTGTAGGGTTTTGTTGTTTTTTTAAATGAGTTAATTTAATCTTTCTTAGTGGCTGACTAGAGTTTTGTTTATTAAAAAATCCCCCCAAACCCCACTTAGCAGCAACTCCATTGTGCCAAGAACTCAAACTCATTGCTGTTGAGTTGGCGCCAAGTCATAGCGCACCTTCCAGTGGGTTTTCAAGAGGCTATAAACCACATGAGAGAAGGTTGCCCAGTCTGTAAATCGCATGGGAAGAGATTGCCCCTCTTTGTCCAGAGTAGCTGATGTGGATTAGAATTGGCAGAGAGGTACAAGTTTAGGATTAGCAGAGCAGCTCCCCAGGGACTGTGACCCCAGTGCTGCATGTGTGTCCGTCTCATGTGTGACCAACTAGACATGTACTCCATAGGGTTCTCAATGGCTGGGTTTTTTTAATAGTACATTACCAGACCTTTCTTTGGAGGTTCCTCTGGGTGGATTTGAATGTCTAACCTTTCAGTCAGTAGCCTAGTAGTTACTACCAGTGGTTTCCCTTATTCTTCTAAGAATTTATTTCATTTCAAGTTTTTTTATTATCTGATTACCTTTCTTACTCAATGCCTTCAAGTCAGTTCTGAGTCATAGTGACCCGTGTTTGGATTCTGTGCCTGTAAATGTCAGTGGGAGGAGAACGCCCATCTTTCTTTCCAGAAGCACAGTCTTTGGGTTACCAGAGCAGCTAGCTACAGACTGCGCCACCAGAATTCTTGTGCTTTTCTAGACATGGAGAACACAATGGGAAGTGAAGACATTGATCTGAAAAAGAATTTTAAAACAACGTTCATTTTTATTTTGACCAAGTTTTCAAGTTAAGGTTGTTTTTTAAAACATCTTGATAGCAATTTGTGTGTGTGTGTGTGTGTGTGTGTGTGTGTGATGCACTAGTGATGAGATTGGGCTCTGCTTGCTCACATGGTTGGGAACACTCATGCTGTCTTGGGCAAGGCATAGTGGGCTCATTATCCACATCTGAGAAGGGGAAAGGAAGACCAAAACCTGGAGAACCATCTGTTGCTTACAGACTAAAGAGAGAGAAAATCTAGGAAATAAAGGTCAAAAGGCTCATTGAATAAATTATTACAATATTTTGTCTGAAGAGAATGTTTCAGTTGGTGGAATAGTATGTGTTTGAGTTGAGTCTTATGGAAGAAATTATTTTTGTGAGGATTTGAAGAGAAAATAGAATATTCCCAGTTGGAGTTTGGAGAAAGGCTTTTATTCCCTTTAGAGGGCCAGCTTGAGCAAGGTCACACACAAGAATGGATGAGGACTAGTGTGGCAAAAATAGTGTCCAGTCTCTAGGCTAGACATAGAAAGGATCTGGGGCAAGGGCTAATGCTTTATGGGGTGGGAGTGGATCAGGGCCTCAGCACCTTGTGGTTCACCCCATAATCAGGTACAAGGGGCTATGTGTCAGGGTAGTGGTGACTTTGGTGTTGTGACACAATGTCATCTTTACATCATAGCCTACCCTCTTCAGTCCTCTGGTGTATATGTCTGCACCATGGTGGTACTGGCCCGTGTTCATGTTACATTATTCCTGACTGTGAAATTTCTGCTCAGTCACTGGGGATCACACTTATTGTTTGAAATGAAATATTATGAAGTTAATAGTTTGGTAAAACATCAAGTGATGGGAGGAGTCATTGAAGGAGCAGTAAGACGAGTGACCTTGAGCCCTGCCAATCTTGTTGAGTAGCTACATGACTAGACAACTCGCTATATACCCTAAAATTCAGAGGTAAAAACTCATTACTTGTAAAATGAAGAAAATATCTCCTCTGTTTATGTCGGTGCTCTGTCAAGATAAAAGAAAAAAATGATTATTCTCAATAACTAAAACATAGATTTAGAAAAAAAGAAAATATGATTAATGATTTATTCTGAGGCTTGCAAACATCAAAGGAATGCAAAGTATAAGATAGTCATATAGGGAAGAAGATTATTGTTTATGAAGATGGTGATAACATCATTTAGTTGCTGTTATACTGCTTGAACAAATCTGAAAGGAAATTCTGCAATAATAGTGAAAATAAAACTCCCAGACCAACTCCATGCCATTGAGTCAGTTCCAACTCCAGAAGCCCTATAGAGTGGAACTGCCTCACAGGGATTTCAAGGACATGAATATTTATAGAAGCAGACTGCCACGTATTTCTCTTATGATAATAAAATAACTGAAGATATGTATTGTTTACCAGGTAGAAGACAGCAAGTGTTTTTATACATAGAGCTGGACAAAGCCTAAGGATAACAGAAAAATAATCTATGCCTTTGATTTGTGGTGACGGAGAAGAATATTGAATATACTATGGACCACCAAGAAAACAAACAGGTCTGCCTTGAAGAGGGTGAAACCAAGTTTCTCTTTGGAGGCAGGGATTTTGAAGCTCCATCTCACATACTTTGGGCACAGGGCCAGGAGGGCCAGGTC